GTATTTTATAATAATTTTTTTAGTACGAACGCGAATAAACGAACGTCTGGAGAATTCGAAGGACTGTGAAATCTCGTATTATTTTAGCTTTGACCAGAACTTCATTCAAGTCCACAATTTTTTTTAAATTTGTTTTATCACTGGATCATAGAAATCTTATAAAACAAATATACATCATGTGGATCATCTAAAAGTTAAGGATTTAAAATGGGTTCAAAGTAACAATTTTATGCAAGTTTAAATAATTTCTTTGTCCTTAAAATTTCTCATTTATTCGGTAAACTTAAAAAAATGTGTTTGGTTGGAAGGCTGTCAATTTGATTGTTTGAAGAATGCACAATTTATGAGGACTCATTCATACGAAGACTTTTCTTGATCATTGTTTGCTGTCTCCTTTTTATCAATGTTATTGTATAATTCTATCAATTATATTCTTTAATTCTATCAACTACAATTCATTAGATTTCGTTGTCCGATTGACCAAATCTTGCAATTAATTAATCTTTTTTACGAGGGATTTTCATTTAGTAAATTTTTCTTGCAAACAATTCCATTTTGTCCACACTCTTGAAACCGGTCAAATGATAAAATAGTATTAATTAATTCGGCGGCAATCAAGTTAAAAATCATTACTGCTTTACTTTGTCGTATCCAAAGTTGGTCGGAGTTTTAAGCAGGATGAGGCAAGACAGCCCACCTACCACTGAAGATGGCGAAAAGGTGTGATGACATTGGCTTGTGGTTTTGATTAGTAAGATTGGTGATAAAACAATTTCTATTATTCAGGATAACTCATACTTTTGAAAAGCCCATTTCCCATGGTCTAGGCGGGCAATTTGACTACAGGGTGATGTGTGGGTGGAGTCGGCCCTAAAGGGGGAAAAATGGTCAAGGAAGAATGAAAATTATTCGCCATAACTATGGCAAAATTCACGTAACAAATGCCAGATTAAAATTCAACATAATTGGTTGTTTATTGTCTCTTTTTATGTGTTTGGTTTAATTTTTACTTTGAATTTTTTTGTGTGCTTTTTATTAGGTTAAAGTTTGGTTTTACAAATCCTGTAACTTTTTGTCTATGTATAGTGTAGATATTTTATCCAATTACTCTAATTTGGTTGTTCAATATGGTTATAAGTCTCCTTTTTAAGTGTTTCGTTTAATGTTCCTTTATTTTAGTGTTTATTTTATTAAGTGGGGAAATAAAATTTGCTTAGGTCAAAAAGTTGAAATATTAGATTAACCCACATTCCCCCTTTTTCACATTATCACCATATTTTTCCATTTAGCATAAGATTTCTGCAGTTTGTTCCGGTAATTAAAGTAAAGGTTAAAACGCTAGTAAGCTTTTTAAACGAGTTAGTTTTTATGAAATTTCCCAAGCTCTATCATGAATTTTTCCAATGAGATTACATTCTTAGTTTTTAAAAAATTTAAATGTAGCAGTTTTTTTGGGGGGGGAGTGTTTTTCTTGATTTAGAACATGCCGTCGATCTAGTCTGGCACTCGGGCTTGATTTGGAAAGTGAAGAACATCTTCACTCACACGTACCTCTCATACTTTGATCTTATCTGACGGACCGATTTTGCCGAGTCCTTCAGGGAACAAAATTATAACCTTATATTATTAGATCGGGTGTTCCTCAGGGAAGTAGGAATATTTTCAATATATACTCCACTACTAAACATTCGTTGATGATACAGCGATTCTTACACGTAATTCGGACCTCTTAATTAACACTCAACACTTAAAACAATACCTGAATGATTTAACAGTGTGGTTCACAAAGAGGAAAATGAGAGCTACGAGTAAAGAGAAAACCCGTAGATAGTTGAGAAAAAATTAAATAGAACATAAAATTTTGAATATCTTTTCGTCATGGCGAAAATAAACTCAGGTATCTTCCTCTGAATTAATTCACGTTCCAGCTCCCGTTTAAGGAGTTGAGCCGTGTTTGGTTTTAAATGAGACCCGTAAGGACGATTCTGGGAATGCACTTTTACCACGAGATTTGTTCAAGGATAAACGCTGGGCAAATTCCTCGCCTCAATTCTCGCGGAGCATCGTACCTAAAAAGAAAAATAGCAAACAAAAACTATGGAAATCTGCCAGTTACTCCAGCATAATTCTGCTTGATCTGCTGTGTGGAATGCTTCGAATAACATTTTTCCTATTTATGGAATAAGTGTAAGACAATAATCTGTCGGTAATTTGTTTCATATTGATCAAAACAAGTTTCTTCACACTATTTTTATACATTTCTTAAATGACAATAGTATATAATAAATTTATTACATAAACAAACAATAATTAAAACTAGCGTAGTGATAAAGGACTCGTGTGTTAAATTCACAATGATTATCAAGTATGTAAACTGTTATAACAGAAAACAATATTAAAAATAAATATTGTGTTAATGATTTTTCAGCATGCCCTAAAGTTTGATTTCCATAGTACATACAACAAATTTATAAATTATCAAAGCAAATACGTCAATAAACCAAAACATAGGTAAGAGTGTTGATAGTTAAAGAATCTGCTATTCAAAACCAGCAACTCTTATCATGCTTAATAAACAAGTCAATCGACTTTTTTTAATCAAGCCTTCGAATTTTCAGGATGAAATTGTCTGAATTCAGAAGGTGAATTGACACAAGAAGACAAACGACCTTATGACCGCGAGCTTTCATCAAGACGACCCATTTAATTATACATTTCGCCATCTTCCACCGTTTCTCCTAAAAAGATTTATAAGTGAATCGTAGGCAAATCTTTTCAAGTTTTTTCACTTTTTCCCCCAAAACATAAGAGAAAAGAAGTTTCAAGAAAGATGCATTTTTATATTAGCTGTAAGAGTTTTTATTCATTTACAATCAAAGTGATAAACAGAAGGACGACAAGGCACTATTTTCCTTGACATCTTGGCACACTCTCTTCTCGCTATTAACACTAAACACAACCTATAGAGAACAAACACCGATATATAGAAGATTGGTGATTTATCGAAAAAAATTCTTTACAATGTTTACAAATTCACCAATTATTATACAAAAACTAATACATGGAAAGAGATAGACAGAAATAGTGAGAGAGATACGTAGAGACAAATAGACATAGATAAATAGATAAAGAGAAAGTGTGAGAGAATAAGAGATAGGTAGCGAGAGCGAGAGAGAGAGAGAGAGAGCGAGAGAGAGAGAGAGAGAGAGAGNGTGTGTGTGAGTGTGAGTGTGTGAGAGTGTGTGTGTGTGTGTGTGTGTGTGTGTGTGTGTGTGTGTGTGTGTGTGTGTGTGTGAGAGAGAGAGAGAGAGAGAGAGAGAGTGAGCACGATCGACGGTGTGTGATGAAGCAAAAACAGGAAATAATCTACTTTAACAAAATATTTACTAAATAAAGTTATTCCAAAAAAGGATTTCATGTCCATCATGTCCAAACTGCTATTATTGGCTATAGTTATTTATACTATTAGTTATTAATACTTAGGTTATAAAGAGTTACCGTTCACTAATGGAATGCACATAAGCTTTGGTTTTTCGCATTATGTATTTATTTTTTTAAATGTTTTAAAGTGAGATTTAACCAATGCCAGGCTTGCGTAATGCATGAAAGAGTTCAACAAAAATTGACCCAGCTAGTCACGTTCTTCTACGTTCATGCGAAATACGAATTGCTGTTTTTAGATAGGATCGTGATATACGGTAGAAAAGGGATAAAATAAAAATCAGAGACATAATTCGATGGAAAAACGCCAAAAAACCTATTAATCCTGAAGACATAGTGTAGATTTATTCCTTTTAAAATCCTGTAAAAATATACTACAGAGATTGTTCAAACATTATCTCTGATGAAATCGATCTTATTCCTCGGAGATAATCAAAAATGTCAGACGGCCGTCGAGGTTTCAGAGGAGGCTCGGAAGTGCAATCAAGGTCCCGTTGTATGCTCAAACAAATTGAAGCCTTCGGACTCATTATTCCTCGGCTGTAATCAAATATCTTGTATAAAACCGGTTCCCGCTAATAACTCAGTTGCAGAAAAAGCCCTAGGAATTCTTCGCTCCAATTTAAGAATTTTTAGAAAACACTCGCCTTAGAAGAAATTAACAACATTGGCTCTTTAATTATTAATTTTACTCTATATATATTTTAGTTGGTCCTATTTAACCAAAGCAATTATTTAAATTGATTTATAATTTTTATGTGAAGAGTGGTAGAGATTAGGGCGATGAGTGGGACTCGAACCCACAGGTCGGTTCGATATGCCAGTGTTATAACCTCTGAGATATCATGACGTTATGGAAGATCAACGTCACGATGGCTCAAGTGGTTATAGCGCCGGGGTATAGGAGGTCGTGGGTTCCAGTCCCGCTCCGGACACTAATTTTTCATTTCAACCACACTTTATATAAATTTCATTTATTTTAGTGTCTTTATTTTATTAAATTTTAGTGTTGGTTATAAACTTATTTCACCTCAGATAAATCAGATGAATAGTTTCTTTCCAAGCCAAAATAACTGTTTATTTTCCTACATTGTGTAACGAAATGTATATTATCGATTTCATCCGCAAAGTTCTATAAGAGAAATAAAACTTTTTTTAAATATACTATTCCTCAAATCAAGATTGTTTACATAGTTTTACACATTCACCCAAAATTAAAAGGTAGAATTGTCTAGAAGGTGAGGAACTTTTATTATTACAACCATTTGCAACTAAGCAGTGAGATGAAGTTCTGGGAATTGATTTGATCAGTATCATAGGATTTTCTACAACTTCTCTGGCACAAAATTGATTTTCTTTGTTAGCATTTTTTCTAAAATTGGTGTATATATCAACTAAAGTTCAATTTTAAAAAAATAAAAATTTTATCTAGTTGGGAAAACACATATTTTTGTAACGTCTAACTGTAAATCTTCATAAATAAAATTGATAATGTTTTATTTTTGTAACTGGTTAAAATTTGTATTTTACTTATTAGAGGCAGATAGTATTGGGGCAATTGGGGCAATACTAGAATATTTATACTAACATGCTCACTAACCTGACTGCCAGCAGAGAGAGCTGAATTACACTTTGTAAATCGCTCCTGGGAAAAGAAAAAATTAAGATAAACTCAAAGACTGGTTGATGAAATAAGTATAAAAATTAAATGTTGTATAAATAAAATTTACCCTCTGAAGGCAACAATCCTTGCTTTAAAACAGCTACGATGAACCAGCTAACTGTGCACTTCGACTATTCGACACTCACGGAACTACTTAACGAACAGTTTAAATAACACTTCACGAAAATGTAGGAAAGATAAAACAATCACTCAACACCACCTAGAAAAGAAAAATACAAGAAATGTATAAAGCCTTGAATAAATTCATGTAGTTTACATATAAAAATTATCTATCAGATCCTGCGAAAAATTGTATTCAGTGTAATAAAAATAGAAAAATATGATTTATTGTACAAACACTAAATGACTGAATAAATATTTCTGGAAAATGTATGTATTTTTTTTAAACCTTTAATGGCAATGAATTTTTTGTCAGCCAATAAAATAAAGATTTTTAAAAGCATTGATATGGCACTAAGGGCTGAAAAATGTACAATACTGTAATTGGGGTGTGTATTATTATGAAAAGGACTTAATTCAAAATAAAAATAAAAACGTTGACTTATTATTATCAAATGCTGTAGGTGCTTCTTAGAATCAGTTCTGATGATAATTTTAGTTGAAAGTGAAGTCAAGAGTTGATGTTTCATATACCCAGTAATTATATTTATTTATTTTTTGATTCATTAAAGGCACAGGATTGGAAGCCTAATATTACAAGACAAGAACAAAAGCAAGATAAACACAATATAAATTGATTGGAGAATGAAAAGTATAATTGTATAATAATTATATTGTGTTGTATTGCAGAAGGGGTTTCTGAGTAAGGTTTTTATGTGAAGTTCTGAACAATTTATCTGATATATAATAATTTATGTGGAAATGTATCATTTGTTTTATGCCTGGTTTCAGGTGTGTTTACAATTAATGTAATTAGAATTTTGGAATGATTACAACAAAAGTGTGGAATAAAACCCAATTTACTTATCTAAGAAACCGATGCTGTACACTTTCAAGAGATGTTGTTGGTAACGGTGTGGTGAGAAAACTATAGAAAATAATTTAGAGATGGGTATGACTAAGGATATACATGTCAATTTTAACACGTGAACATTCTGAAAATATGGAGAGAAACAAATTGTAAATCGTACAAAAAGTTTTAGAGCTTTAGCAGCTTAACTTAAAATGCAGTTTTTAAGCATTATCTGTTTGTCAAATAAGGTGCCCAAGTCCTCAATTACATTGATTGAAGTGAGTGGGGTGCCACTGATTGTGTTAGAATTATTGCACCTTGATAAGCGGATATGGAATCATTTTCAAGTATCAATATTTATATCATTGATTTATATAATCAATATTTACATCATATAAACACCAAGTAGGAGGATAATTATTTTGGTAAATTAAATGAAAAAGAAGATACAGGTTTAAAAATCATTACATTATCAGGAAAGGGAAAAACAGATGCCATTAAGCACAGAGTAATTGTCATAAAACAAGAAACAAAAGAGGCCCTAAGTAAGATCCCTGAGGAACTCCTGCAGTAACCGAGAATTTAAAAAATTCAGAAAAATTAACCCTATCTGGAACCTTTTTCCAGATATGAGTGAAATGGAGAGAGAAGACTGTCACCAAAATCAGAACTCGTTGAAATAAATATTTATTCACATTCAGTATCATTAACCATTAACACACATTGCAGAGGAATGAAGTGCCCTATTTACTGCTACTAGTACACCACCTCTACTTTTTAGTTACTTTATAAATGGATAGGGACAGGGGATAAAAGAGGTGGCCACAAGGCCTTCTGCACCTTGACCTGAGCAGATCTATTGTGCTCCCTTTTTTTTATAACACACTGGCCAGCTTCAGGTTGTTAATCAACCTCCACAGCCTTGCCAGCGGCTCCTTGGTGTAGGATCTTGCTTGTGGTTTTCCTTGCCCTAGATGCAAGAACCTGCACTTACATAGGTCTTCACTAAAACATAAAATGTGTTCTGCGGTCTCCTCCACTTCCTGGCAATATCTACACAGTGTTCTATCTGCACTCCTATCCAATGTGTGTGATTTCTTAAGTGGCCGAACCCTGTCAGGAGACCAACCAGAAAACTGGTTCGATTGCTGTTAACTTTCAGCAATTCCATTGTAAGTTTTGAGGATGGCTCTCTATGAATCTCTTTGCATGCCTCCTACCTGTGGAATCGTTCCACCACGTTTTGGACTCATTAAGGACCCATTTTGAGACATATCTTCTTTTGTGGCAAGACGCTAGGATTCAAGACCTAGAGAGTCCATACTGGCTCCCTCTTTGGCCCCAAATGCCCAGGGATCCATGCCAGGGCAAGCCATTAATGACGCTGATTTCCCCCAGGGGCTCATGCAGGTCTCAATATGCTTCGCCTTCACATGAAGCTAGTGCCTTTAGTGCTGCCTGAATGACAGAGAAGAGAATCTTCCGGGTATGTATTCCTAGCCTTTTTATTTCCCTATAAATGGATTTTCAGCAGAGGTGTTCTTTTTAAATATTGTAATTCAACGTTAAAGTGATTAGTACAAAAAAATTCCCTCCTTCAAACTCTCGAATTTCAGATACCCAAAGGATGTCCCATCATTCAATACATCATGAATTTATTGGACGATTTAAATCAGTAAATATTCTCAATTTACGGTAATCTATCATGTTATAAGCTATAATGGAGAGGCCGATGTGGAATTTTATGTAAAACTGCAAGCGTTAAAAGAAAGTAAGTTCTGTCATGTTTAAACTATCAACATATTATTAGGGCGCCGATTATTTTGTCATTTGTCAACACATCCACCGTTTTTATAAACAATCTGTAATAATATCTTCGAAAGATAGTCTTTACTCACAGATTTGTCATTTTCAACAATCCGGATTTTAAGCTCATCCAGTTGAAAGAGTTACAAGCAAGCACGTCTCGACACGAATTGTAAGAGAGAACCCGCGGAACCGCCGTTCCACCGCCACCACGACGTCCCAATGAGAAGCTGCCTTTTAACGTCACTCAATTTTTTAACGAAAAGCGTCAATTACAACACAACTAATACCTTTATATAGAAGGAAATTTTTTTAAAATTAATGATGAATTTGTATGTCTTATTTATGCATTTATCTCCATGTTTAATTTTACGTTTTTTTAAACTCAAATTTGTCAAACCAATCTAGTCCCCTCCCGTTGTAGAAACCGTATAACACTGTTGTATTTTAATTTAAATTTAAAATTTTTATTTAGATGGTCCTTAAATTCAGAAAATTTGTTCAATTTAGTCGTGTTCTTTAACTCTAGATTTAATTTCACTGTCCCTTTGTCCTATACAATTAATATCTCAATCATTAAAATTAAGTTGGTAAACCCCGCTTTTTGTCAAGTTGTCAACCTTGTCTTTTGGTTTTGAGAGACTGTTGCTAAGTGAACACGCGCCTCTAAAAAAGCTACTCTATAATTTTCTCATTTAAGAATTTTACTTATTTTTCTGATAAATCACGAATGTTTCAAGCAACGAAAACAATGATTTATTTTTTGTGGGGTGGCTGAGTACGATTGTTGTTTCTTTTAAAGTTAATTTTTTTATTCTTTTGTCTTCTAACCTATCCATAAATATTTCTTGATATCCATTTTTTTAGCTAAGGTTTTGTTATTTTTTGAAATTAGTTTTTATAATTAGTGGTTGTCAATATGAGTTTCAACATAACGGTCTCTGAACCATTGAAACCAGTAGATTTATGGGTCCATGGGTGAGAAGAATCCGCTCGTATCATGGCGTCTGTAGTATGTACAATTGGGCTCAGTCACCCCACTAAAAATGAACCATTATGTTTTTGTTGTGCTTGTAACTCCTAAAACCTGATGATGAGCTTCAACGAAGGTAAGATGTGGCTAGATATCATAAATTTGTTGAACATTAGGGTTGCGGTCACAAAGAAGTGAGTAATGTAGCTTCTCGCCCAGAAGACAGCTTCACTTGGCAAAAAGTTACTTTTACTCACTTCTTTGTGACTGCAACCCTGATCCTCAATAAATTAATGATGAACTTTAAGGCATGAAGTCCAAATTGTTGAAAACAAAATCTCACCCCACCTTTTTTTCTCATGGAAAATTTGATAGAACAAAAGACAAAGGGTCGTCATAATCAGTTTTACCAGAAATTTGGTGAAATTTTTTGTTGACTCGAGAGAACCAGGCATTGGTCAAAAATTTATTTATTGTACTATTAAAAGATAAATGATAGTAGACTTGTTGAAGCCATGATTTGGACCTATGCCGGATATATAAAAGGAAGGATCTGTCTGACAACCTTGCTTCCTTTTCACCTTCAGGTCTGCCGAGGCCATCTATTGCTTGATTTGGTTTTGATAAGTCAGAGATTCTGTGCCAATCCAGCCCACTAATGCTTCAATTTCATTTTAATCTTGTTTTTAAATATATTTTCAGTGAGTGATTGCCGAATCATGGCCAGTTCTGAAAATTGTTATGTCCAGCTATTAGAAGCAAGATAAACTCTGTTTTAATAAATCAATTATTAAATACATTCAAATGGCTGTAACCACTACTTTTAATGCAATAACCAACAAAAATAAGATTAACATGAAATTGAAAAATTGGTGGGCTGGTTTGGCACAGAAACTTCACTTATCAAAATCAAATCCTGAGTAGGTGAGGACGGATCATTCTTACATGAGTAAACCAAACAACAGTGCCAGGCCTTGCTTTTGAATATCTGGGGCATAAGGTCCAAATGTGGCCTCAACATGCCTCTTTTTATTACACTTAATACATTTTTTTTCAGGATCTGATAGATAATTATTATATGCAAACTACATGAACTTATTGAAGGCTTTATACATTTCTTGTATTTTTCTTTTCTAGGTGGTGTTGAGTGATTGTTTTATCTTTCCTACATTTTCTTGAAGTGCTATTTAAACTGTTCATTAAGTAGTTCCGCGAGTGTCGAATAGTCAAAGTGTTGTGAGTGTCAAAGTGCACAGTTAGCTGGTTCATCGTAGCTGTTTTAAGGCATGGATTGTTGCCTTCAGAGGGTAAATTGTATTTATAAAACATTTAATATTTATACATATTTCATCAACCAGGCTCTGATTTTATCTTAATTTCTTTCTTTTCCCAGGAGGGATTTACAAAGTGTAATTCAGCTCTCTCTGCTGGCAGTCAGGTTAGTGAGCATGTTAGTATAAATATTCTAGTATTGCCCCAGTAGCCGATATAATCATCTTGCTTCAATAGTATCTCTCTGTATTAAATGAAATACAAATTTTAATAGGATCAGTGTTCCAAAAATAAAACACTATCTATTTTACCTATTACAGATTTATAACTTAGTACAGTGAGAAGTTACATAAATATGTGTTTTTCCAACTAGATTAAGTTTTTATTTTATTTAAATTGAATTGTAATTGATACATACATCAAATTTAGAAAAATACTATAAAAATGAGATCAATTTTGGCCCAGAAAAGTGGGAGAAAATCCACCGATACTGATCACATCGATTTCCAGAACTTAATTTCAATGCAAATAGTAATAATAGCAATAATAATGGCCTTAATGAACAAAAGAGAAACACAGTCTTTGATGACCAGGATAGAAATCTTGCGAATTTTAAATGGCTTTCCCAGTTATAATTTTTTTATACAAATCGGTCCAAAAATGAAACTAGTGTAGTGTAGTAGATTTGCCGATGAGTACAAACTCAACTAGTCTCTATCGAATGAGGCTAGCTTATACACTGCTGAACTCCGTGCAATCAGGTCATTGTGCAGTATAATGGAATTGCAAGGAATTTGTAATGCCATTATTTGTGCTGGTGCAAAGAGTGGTTGTGAAGCCATCTTAGAAATTCACAAATACCTGTATGAAATTAAAGCACTTAACAAACATGTGGAATTTGGCATTTCTGGAAATGAGAGCTGATCAACAGGCAAGGAAAACCTCAAACAATCCCCAAAGAACAGATCAATTTTCTTTCTACCCAGATGACATTGTCATTTATGTTAAAAACATTATCAAACAAAAATGAATGGCAAGAAGGAATGTCTGTAGAGAAATTAGAAAAGAATTTAAGCCAGTTGTACTTAAATGGCCAACAGAGGAACTTAAAAGAAAAGAACTTGTAATTTTCTCTAGATTGTGAGTAGGTCTCATCGGATTAATCCATAATGGGCTTTTAATAGGTAACAACCTTCCAACTTGTCCTCGATATATTCTAAGTGGAGAACGTGTCATTCTAACTGTAAACCATATTTTGGTCAACTGCCATACTTTGCAACTCTTTAGTGAAAAGTTCAACCTTTTGAATGATTTGAAGGTGTTACTCGGTCCCCAGTGTTTGTTTCGGAGAGCAAAGCTTTCTTAAATTTATTGGCATTTATAATAAGATTGAGGCCTTTTCGCAAATTCTTATACCTTTGAATGTTTGTCTGACAGTGTGTGAGTGGAAGTTCGGCATGCATGATTTCTTTTTTCAGGAACTTTTGAGGCTGCCAGAGCGGAAAAATGAAATAAAAGAAAAATACAATTTGCAGGGTATTTCCATTCATCATTCATTTTGTAAGGTAATTCTACATCCTTCCTTGTCTTTTGGCCATGCACACTACTGAACCTTAGACTCTCCCAATCTCTTTCATTCTTTTTTTCCACACTTTCTTCACCCATTCTTTCCCCACCGTTTTATACTTCTCTGCGTTCACCTTCGGTCGTCCCATCTTACTACATGATCGACCCAAGTCCTCTATTTTTTGAATTGCTTTTATAATGTCTCTGGCTTAAGATTTTTCTGTTGAATTTTTATTTGTGTCTTTTCTCTTAACAGAAAGACTTTCTTAATTAATTTATTGTGGTCCCAAAGTTCTTTGAAGTGATGTCGTACTGCTTTACACAAAATGTTGAATTCAAAATTTCAATTTGCAATTTCTTCATTTTACATACCTTTTGTCTGTATTTGTGGAGCAAGCTTTTGTATTTCATTATAATGCTTTTCCACTTATTTTCCCTCCACATAATTTCCTGCGATTACTTAATTACTTTGTCTAGTTTCTTTGTCTTACTTGCTTTTCTTTATTTTGCATTCTTTATTTTACAATGGTTTGGGCCCTAGGTTTAAATCATTGTTGCACAATTCTAGAGTAACCCTAACCATTTTTATTTTTATCTGTCTACGGTCTGTTTGAAATTTAAGTTTGCGTGAATGGAGGGACTTATCCCCAATTACCCCAAGGAATACCAAGTACACTAGGGTAGTATAAATACTAATCAGACTGTTGCGTTTTTGTATATATGTTTATTATTTGTGTTATTTTATCCGCAATTGACAAGGCCTGGAATAGGATTAACAAAAGAATGACTCGGTTACTTTATATCATATAACATCAATAAATTGAGAAACATGAAAAGAAATTATAAGGAATAAAACACAAGAAAGACAGGAACAAATTGAGGACTAAGTAGTTTGCCTGCTCTTTTTGTGTTTGTTAGTAATTCAAAGCGAATAATGTTAATAATAAAAATTATAAAAAATATTTTACTTTCGAATTATGTACTATAAAATTAAAAGTTTTTTAATCTTAGAAACTGTCGGGCTAAAATCTAAACATAATAACTCGTTGTATTTATTGACAGTGAAGAATGTATAATCCAGTCATAACAGCATAATTAGGCGTATAACCAAAAAAAATCATATGCCGTGACAATATCAATCAAAAGCAAGAGCTTATCAAGAAAGACCCGTAACGCTATCGGAAGGGTTTTACTTCAAACTTATTGCTCTGAGCTCTCTCCACTAGATAGCATTAGAATTTATCGTGAGTAGATTTGTTTGCGGGGTAATGATGTTTTAGCCATTTCTGATCACCCTGGTCGTTTATTCTCGCCTTTTTTTTTAGATGCATTCGTAAATAACAAGAGTACCACTTAA